GGCGACTAGCTGAAATAATAATAAAAAAAAAAAAAAAAAACATATATATATATATATATATATATATATATTGTTAAAAATCAAAACAAAGTTCCAACATAGGTGCATTTCACAACAAAACAGTAATAATAAATGCCCATTGTTTTTTTTTTGTTGTTTTTTTTAATTACTAGTCATTTTAATCATCATCTGCCGAATAAATAATTTGGACTAATGTATTTGGTCACTTAAAGTGATAGTTCACCCAAAAATGAAAATTCTGTCATCATTTACTCACCCTCATGTCGTTCCAAACCTGTATGAGTTGCTTTCTTATGTTGAACATAGAAGATATTTTGAAGATTGCTGGTAATCAAACAGTTGGTGGTTGCCATTGACTTCCATAGTAGGAAAAAAAAATACTATGGAAGTCAATGGCAACAATATTCAAAATATCTTCTTTTGTGTTCAACATAAGAAAGCAACTCATACAGGTTTGGAACGATATGTGGGTGAGTAAATGATGACAGAATTTTCATTTTTGGGTGAACTATCCCTTTAAGACACTTAAAATATTTTAAGTGTTTTATTACATAATATGTACATGTGTTTTATTACATAAAATATAAAGTGGCTTTTATTTGAAAGAAAAATATGCAAAACACCCTTTTTAAGCAAAACATTTCATACAAAGAAGTTTTAAATGACTAAACAATAGACACTTTTTCACTAGTTATTTTGACTGACGTCTACCAAGTAAAGAAGTTTTTGGACACTTATTGCACTTAAAACATTTGAATATTGTTATTATATAACAAAATATCAAACCAAGTGCCATTTATATACTATAAAAAAGTAAAACAAAGTATTTGGACAAAGGAACATTTCATTTAACCCCAAAATAAAAATTGTGTCATCATTAACTATTAATGTTATAATGCTTGTTTCTTTCTTCATTAATGTTACATGTCTTCAGGGAATGTGCGGACATCATGACAGGAGGCTCTCGTCGTTGTATCGTTGTGTCTACTCTAGCGGAAGCGTCATTCTATGCTGATAACGGCTATGATGATATACTGTATGCATACCCTCTGCCATTTGATAAAGTGGAGAGCTGTGCTGAGCTGTCCGAGAGACTTTCTCTATTCCACGTCGTGGTGGACAACCGCCTCGCCCTACAGGAACTGAAGAAGAGACCTCTGAAGCAGGGAAAAGTCTGGAAGGTGTGGATGAAGCTGGATTGTGACAATGGGAGAGGTAACACTTGAAGTTGGAGTTCACCAAATGTATGTCCAAATGTTTGAAGTGTGGTTTTCGATGTAGTGCAGTTAGATAAATTGGTTTGTTTTGTGTTTTGAAAGCGGGTGTTCCTCATTGTGACCCAGCTGCGCTACAGCTTGCCCACGAGATCTCATATATATATACTATACATTATAATATTGTGATGCCTAAGTTTACTAACATTTAAAATTATTGATTTTAATTTTTAGTATTTTTTTTTTCTTTCATTTCTTTAGAACATATCATTTTAAACACTGATCATTTACAATCTTTAGCAAAAAAATAATTGGGAATAAATATATTTTTTATATGGTACATTATAATTTTGTGCCGTCTTTATTCACTTATAGTCTTAAAGTTGAATGATTTTATTTTTTAATTGTTTTATTTTTTATTTATTTAGACAAATCAATAGTTTTAAACACAAATCATTTAACAACACTAATAAATGTAATCTTTAGTAAAACATACATTTTCTTTTTTAGATTGTAAATTATAAAATTGTGATTCGATTTTATTATGCTGATAAATCAAAATTATTTAAAATAATAGATTTTAGTTTGGTGTTGTTTTTATTTAGACAACAAAATGTTTTAAAATCTGATAACTTGAAATCTTTAAATATTTTTTATATTGTACAACATATTCACGTGTTGCATGTAAAATAATTGTATCACTTTTTTTAGTATTTTTAATATAGTCAACAAAGCATATAATTTTAAACACTGATCATTTAACAACACTAATAAATATAATCTTTAGCAAAAAATAAGTATAATATTTTTATATTGTATATTATATGGTGATGTCTAAATTCACTTGTAGCATTTAAAATAATTGATTTGAGCTTTTAGTGTTTTATTTTTAATTTATTTTGACAGTAAAGCATGTAACTTTAATATAGGCAGTTGGGCATAATATGAATATTATCATTAACTTATTGTAATTTTTAACATTTTAATATCAGTGCATCCCTACTTAATATGCTTTGTATTGTTTCGGCTATCCATAGGTTGAAGGCTGCTGGAATACATGGTACCAAATCCAGCATTGGCTCCACCCCTTCCTGTAGCCACCCAGTCCCCGACATGGCCATGTTGAGTGAGGTGCATCCTGGGAACTACATATTTTACGGTCTGTATTGCCATGTTCTCCTGTTGAGTCGTTGTAAGCAGTGATGTTATCAGTTTGTTTTGAATCATAATATTATCCGTTGCATGTCCAGACGTGCAGCAGTCCCTCATTGGGTCCTGTAGACTTGAGGATGTTGCAGTACGGGTGCTGACGCGGGTCATAGGTCACTACCCACACAGGAACCAGTTACTTGTAGACTGTGGGTGGGCAGCACTGACTCATGATGGTGGGGGGCGCTTGGCGTTCCTCATTGTGACCCTGCTGCACTACAGCTTGCCCTGGAGATCTGGGATACTTCAGGGGTGGAGCTGACGGGAATTTACGCCCACTGCGGGAACACCTACGCCTGTCAGGGGGAGGAGCAAATCAAAGCCGTTGCTCGGGAAACCACTATGATTACACTGCAGTTCATGGAGAAGTATGCTGACATCATCTAACGCTCACTTAAAGTTCATCTTTAAAAACATTGATAATTTAGCAACATTTTGTAATTTTTAACATTTTAATATCAGTGCATCCCTACTTAATATGCTTTGTATTGTTTCGGCTATCCATAGGTTGAAGGCTGCTGGAATACATGGTACCAAATCCAGCATTGGCTCCACCCCTTCCTGTAGCCACCCAGTCCCCGACATGGCCATGTTGAGTGAGGTGCATCCTGGGAACTACATATTTTACGGTCTGTATTGCCATGTTCTCCTGTTGAGTCGTTGTAAGCAGTGATGTTATCAGTTTGTTTTGAATCATAATATTATCCGTTGCATGTCCAGACGTGCAGCAGTCCCTCATTGGGTCCTGTAGACTTGAGGATGTTGCAGTACGGGTGCTGACGCGGGTCATAGGTCACTACCCACACAGGAACCAGTTACTTGTAGACTGTGGGTGGGCAGCACTGACTCATGATGGTGGGGGGCGCTTACCTACAGGATACGCCATCATTGAAGGGCATCCAGAACTCAAGTAAGAGGTCATGTGATTGGAAATGAGGATTGTATTTTTTTCCAGGGATGCACAAGTGGTACCATATAAGTTACTGGCGGATAATAGTATATAATAATGACATTTTGAAAATAGAGGAAATTTTTATTAATTGTTATTATTAAATTATTATTCATTTCCATTATTTTTACATTTACACTATTGTTCAAAGGTTTGGGGTCAGTAAGATTATTTAATTTATTTTATTTAATTTAAATTAATACTATTTTAAAACAAAAGTGCATAAAGTTGATCAAAAGTGACTGTAAAGAAATAAAAAAGAGATATATTTCCAATAAATGCTGTTCTTTTGAACCTTCTATTTATCAAAGAATCCTGAAAAAAATGCATCGCATTATTCACAAAAAGCTTTATTAAGCTGACAACTGTTTTCAACATTGATAATAATAAGAAATGTTTCTTAAGCAACAAATCGGCATATCTGAATGATTTCTGAAAGATCATGTGACACTGATGACTGGTGCTGAATGATGCTGAAAATTCAGGTTTGAAAATAGAAACAGAAAATGAATTACATTTGAAAATATATTACAGTAGAAAACAGTTATTTTAAATTATAATAATATTTCACACATTGTTTTTACTGTTTTTTAGATTAAATAAATGCAGCCTTGGTGAGCACAAAGAATTTAACAACATTGTTAAATGTATTCTATAGCAAATGTGCATTTCAGTTTATTTTATTAAAATGATTGATTGTAGTTTTTAGTATTTTATTAAGCTATTTAGACAGTATAGAATGTTTAATATCAGCCATTTATCTACCAAAACAAATATAACTATCTAATTATTGTTATTAGCCGGAATTTTAATAGTGGTGCATCTCTAGATTTACATTAAGCCCCCTGTCTGCATAGCTTTTGAATGATTTGAATTGACATTCAAAATGTGATTCATATGAGAATAAATATTTAAGCATTAAATCCATTCTCAAATATTAAAAACGTCATGACATTGCATAATCCTTTTTTTTTGTACTTGTTTAGATGTTTATTTTACATCACAGTGCAAGAAGGAGGTTTTTTTGTGTCAGATGATATAAAAATAGCATGAAGGGTGTCGTCTGTTTTGCAGACTGCTGTCTATGACTCAGGAACACGGCAGGGTGGAGCCCATCTCTGGAAAACTGGACTTCAAGCAGTTCCCACTGGGGTCACTCCTCACACTCATGCCTTACCATGTGAGTTACTAACCATCTCACTCAAACAAAGCACACAGAAACACACTGAATTCAACTGTGTGAAAGGACATTCTCCATTTGACTAAGCCATTGCTTGTGCATCAGAAGTCACTGACTGTTTTCCTTCAACACACATTTGGTCATCAACACTGTATCCAAATTTTTGTTGTACAAGAGTAAACAATGATATTGATTGATGTTGCCATAAAGTGCATAATTCCACTACTACACAACATTATTAACTTGACCTGGGCTGAATAAGAAAATATATCAGATAATTCGCCGCACAAAAAACGTGGTCAGCACAAGCTTTGTTTATTCTCAATGCAATGAGTCCGTATTTAACATAGCCTACACTCTTAAAAATAAAGGTGCTTCACGATGCCATAGAAGAACCTTTTTGTCTAAATGGTTCCATAAAGAACCTTTAACATCTGAAGAACCTTTCTGTTTCACAAAAGGTTCTTTGTGGTGAAAAAAGGTTCTTCAGATTACAAAAAGGTAAGAAAGAGATGGTTCTTTAAAGAACCTTTGACTGAATGGTTCTTTGTGGAACCAAAAATGGTTCTTCTATGGCATCGCTTGAAGAACCTTTTGAAGCACCTTTATTTTTAAGAGTGTAGGGATAAGGGCTTGCCACATCATCTATCAGTGTTGGCAGGTACATTGTTTTTTCTCTTCTGTTTTTTAATAACTTAAAAATGACACGTTAATACAATGAAATTGTTTTGTTGACAGGCTTGTGCTACAGCTATGATGCATCCGGTCTATTTTGTCCATTCTAAAGGGAAGATTATAGACACTTGGAAACCCACTCGTGGCTGGTAGCAATCTCTATCTGACGGACTCTTGTACAGCTGGGGGACTGTGGTTGGAAATGTTTTAGACTCGAAACAACTGTGAGTTTGCTGTAAGGCAGGTGTCTATTAGAAACCCACCTTAAAAGATTCTTTATCCGGATTCAAGTGCATTATGGGTTGGTTCTTTTCTTGAGGAGCACTCGTTATGTAGCCTAGTATTCCAGTGAAACAGCCTTTGTGTAAAAGCTCACATTGGGCTACAGTCTTCCTTTAAAAAAATATTTTTCCCTGATTCTTTCAGCAATTAAGAACACTTAATATTCTCTTCAGACTAATGAAGGACTATGGAAAGACTGTGATTTCTTACTTGTATCTGACTGAACTTGCATGCAGTGTGTTTTATGTGCTTAAAAAGAGTTTTGGAAAGATCTGAAATGGCTGAATTTCTGCTTTTACAAAAAAGCTAACAACATGTACCTCAGTTTGTAATAAAATCATTTACAGTGGTATTATTTAAAAATCTGAAGCTTTTTTATTTTAATTAATGGATGTTTCAACTATGGACACTTTTTGCCCTCTGGATTTTATGAAAATAATCTCTCTTAAACAGCATATATACATCAGTTACAGGAAAATTTGGTCATTTCTGTCTTTATGTAGCCCAAATCCAAGCAATAATATTTTTGGATAATTTGAAAAAAAAAAAAACACACACACACACACACACACACAGCTTCATTGGAAATGAAAATTGGAAAAATTCACAGTTGATATTTACCTTAATTTTCTTTGTTTTCTATACATATCACATCCCATATTTCATCTTAAAGTCTTCACAGTTTTTTTTTAAATGTAACTGTTAGATTAGATTAGAGCTCTACATATACAGTCATTCATTTTTTATGATGGATTTTCATAGAGATACCTGGGATGACAGTAAAACAATACAATCTATGCATAAAATTCGTTTCAAGCAAAACGAGATGTTGATATGACCTTCATATCAAAAAAGTATTAAAAACAAATAAATAAATACAATCTGGGACATAAAACTGCCTAACGATGACGATAATAATCCCATCATTTCGTGCACAGTTAATAAAAGATTTCCATCCATTATGGAAAATGCAGTGCAACAGCACCCAGACTATTTGCTATAGTTGCACGACCCCCTTCACCCACTGAACAGCACAAGAGAATTGCAAACATAGGCTCCTCCAGGGGAACTCGAAGTCCACTGCACTTCCCTGAGTGCATTTTTACTTGACGCGTGTCATCTGTCTTAACCCATGCACGGGTCACCTTTTCACCTGACCAATTGAGGCGCTCTGATCGAACCCACGACACAACTGGCCAATAGCAGCGCAGAGCGGTGAACACCGCTCAGCTCACAACTCACCGCACTGCGCAGCTATTGGCCAGCCGCGATGAGGGCTCGATCAGAGCGACTCAATTGGTCAGGTGAATAGCTGCAAGTTGGCAGGAAGAGCTAGAGAGCGGAGATACATGATGATGTCAACACGGCAGTGATCCTTTCGGTCGGGCAAACACAAGGCCTTTTTTAACCCATCGATTCCTTGTTATAAATAGTAATGGTCCGGTGGGATTGTACAAGTAATGCTCTGCATGATCTCAGAAGTGGTCGTTGTGTCGGGTCTGTCCTTTAAGGCGCATTGCAGCTTTGCTCAAGGTCTCTAGCGATCATCTGCAGCATCCGGAGGAGTCCAGATCCTACTGGTATGTAATTCAGAACCATTCCATTAGAATCTGTGTATAAACGTAGATAAGCCTGTTTAAATACATTTGAACTACATATGGCGGAAGATGACGCTGATTCGGTTCAATTTAGGCCGAATGATCATGAAATATATTTATTAAATTACATTTATGGTCACTAAAAAGTTACCAGCAATATTGCACGGATGATTTGCATATCACGTTCATACTTGAATTTTGTTACAAGGACACAAAAATATGACCATGCTTTATTTCTCTTCTAAATACAACCGTGAATTATTGTAAATAAAACTCTCGCTTTTTAATGTTTATTTCAGTATATATTATATTATTAATATTATTACAATGAACATTAGGTCTGAGCAGATAATTGTACATATGGATTGGATATAGATTATTTCTGGAGGACACTGGAAGCTAATGCAAAATGATTAGGTTGTTATTATGTAGTGTGCTGTTTTATAATATTAATAGATTAATACCAAGTATTCAGTATTTATTTTGAATTTTATTGTTGTTAGCTAAAATATTATTAATGTAAACACATGAAACACTGTTAGATCGTTAAAAACTTAATGGCAAACAATAATAAACATTTCTTGCCAAGCATTTATACGTATTGTACACTTACTCTCATTGACTGTGATGTATTTTGAACCTTTAATAGTTAAAATTATGTAAAATTATGTTTTTCACCATTTGGTCACAGGCCATCATGCTTTTCATTTTAAAGGATTATTATTATTATTATTATTGTGTGTGTGTGTGTGTGTACAAAAAACTAAAATCACTCATGAAGTGATTTAGCTGCAGCCAATATAGTCTTGTGATCTGGCTGGCACTAAATAAAAAAACATTTTTAAAACAAAGAAAAGGATGCACACTAGGTCTGAATGGGTTAAAAATAATATTTTTCTGCATAACATTTGTTTTTATAGATTTGAGCCTTTTTTAAGAAAAATGCACCCTTTAGTATCAGCACAATAACTTGACCCTTGGCTAATTTTTTAAAGCATTTTTCAACACATTCTCCATTCTCTGGATACCTTTACGCCACACACTCATTGGCACTATTCCATCTTCTGGCATAACACCAATTTTAAATCTCATGCACAGAGTGTAGTGATTTGATGCCAGTAAGGCACACCTCTAAACCAGCATTATGAAATTTGCATTCCCCAAACACAGATGCACCAGTGTGGAGAGCAGGAAGCCGGTGTTCACTGAAAAACCACAATCAAATGACACAGGAAGAATGACAGTAATCACTGGGGCTTGATTTGCCAGTGAAGTAACCCTGGAGTAATTCGTTAGCTTGGTCTTTTTGCCCTAGACTGGGAGTTGTTTTTATCTCAGAGGAGCTGGACTGTGACCTTGGCAAGGTCTTGTATTCTGTGCAGCACAGAGATTTGTCCGGGCGAGATTAGACACCATCTGGCTAATTTGACAGGATTGAGAGTGATGAGATGTATCTCGCACTGTCAAAACAAAATAATTCTTGGTGTTTTTGAATGCATGCATCTAGGAATATGTATGTTTGAATATGAGTCCAAATTTTCACTCGAATGTTTGTCCTCACTATGGTAACAGCGTGAGCTGCACATATCTGATGAGATTTTGAGCGTCACCACAGTTTGGAGTGTGTTTCAAGCAGAGTACTTGGGAGTATGTTGCACAACCTATTTAACAATGACTTTTCTATTGTGTCCCGCTGCGATCGACAGGCTGATCATAGTAAACTCTGCTTGTTGAATGCTTACTACTTTGATCTCCGTTCAGTGAAATCCCCTCTCATTTTCCCTCTTCCTGCCTCTTTGCACTAAGCTCTTTTCACAATGGCTATTTTAGGCCTCGCTGTGCATATCTCTTCGGGGGGACTGTATACACTTAATTATCTGGCACTGAATCTTGTAAGCTTCTTACCCGTTGGCAAGGGTTGGAGAGCAGGCGTCCTAACCGTGTTGCGTTCACGCAGCGTCGGGTCTGTCCTTTAAGGCGCATTGCAGCGTTGCTCAAGGACTAGTGATCATCTGCAGCATCCGGAGGAGTCCAGATCCTACTGGTATGTAATTCAGAACCAAACCACTGATAGAATCTGTATGTATGAGCAAAGATGAGCATGTTTAATGCATTTGAACCACATACGTTGGAAGATGACGCCGATTCGCTTATATTTAGGCCGAATGATTATTAAATATATTTATTAAATTACATTTATGGTCACTAAAAAGTTAACAACAACATGTCATATATATTGCAGAGATAATTTGAATAACACGTTTAGACTTGTATTATGATAGAAGGACACACAAATATAACCATGCTTTATTTCTCTTTTAAATGCCACCGTAAATTAATATAAACCAAACTCCCGTTTTTTAAATATTTATTTCAGTATATTACAATAAACATTAGTTCCGAGCAACATCCAGATAGTTGTACAAATGGGCTTGAAATTTTAGTTATTTCTAGAAAACGTAAAATAAATTAAATTATTACTGGAAGTTTGTGCAAAATTATCGATGATTAGGTTGTTATTATGTGCTCTTATAAAATATTGTATAATATTTTTTAAAATATTTTATTAAATAATTGTATAATATTAACAGACAGTGCTTGGAATTCAGTATTTATTTTGAATGGTTAACTAAAATAAACACATGAAACACATAGATTGTTAAAAACTTTATTGCAAATAATAATATGCATCACTGGCTATACATTTACACTTATTGTACACTTACTCACACTGATTGATTTTTAGTGCTGTATTTTTAACCTATAAGAGTAAAAATTATGTAATATTTTTCAGCCTTGGGTCTAGTAGTCTTGTGATTTGGCTGGCTCTAAATATATAAAAAAAATAAAATAAAATTAACAACAGAGAAAGTGAAGCACACTAGGTCTGAATGCATATTATTTTTATAGATATAGATAAATATATTATTTTTCAGCATATTATCTGTTTTTATAGATGCTACAATTTTAAAGAAACAAGCGCTCTTTAGTTTTAGCATAATGGTTTGGCCTAGCTCATCTAACTTTTTAAGGTATTTTTCAATATGCATTATCTATTCTCTGAATACCTTTACACCACACACACATTGGCATTATTTCAACTTCTGGCATAACACCAGTTTTAAATCTCATGCACAAAGTGAAGTGATTTGATGCCAGAAAGGCACACCTATAAACCAGCAGTATGAAGTTTGCATTTCCACCCCCCTCCCCCCCAAACACAGATGCACCAGTGTGGAGAGCAGGAAGCCGGTGTTCACTGAAAAACCACAATCAAATGACACAGGAAGAATGACAGTAATCACTGGGGCTTGATTTGCCAGTGAAGTAACCCTGGAGTAATTCGTTAGCTTGGTCTTTTTGCCCTAGACTGGGAGTTGTTTTTATCTCAGAGGAGCTGGACTGTGACCTTGGCAAGGTCTTGTATTCTGTGCAGCACAGAGATTTGTCCGGGCGAGATTAGACACCATCTGGCTAATTTGACAGGATTGAGAGTGATGAGATGTATCTCGCACTGTCAAAACAAAATAATTCTTGGTGTTTTTGAATGCATGCATCTAGGAATATGTATGTTTGAATATGAGTCCAAATTTTCACTCGAATGTTTGTCCTCACTATGGTAACAGCGTGAGCTGCACATATCTGATGAGATTTTGAGCGTCACCACAGTTTGGAGTGTGTTTCAAGCAGAGTACTTGGGAGTATGTTGCACAACCTATTTAACAATGACTTTTCTATTGTGTCCC